CTGTTATCATCTCCACATGAGCCAGAACACATCTACAACTCCATGAGATCCACATTGCAGATTCCCTTGCATGACTGGTGAATCTTCAGATAGTCCCAACTTCTCTACCCACGACATCTATTGCAAGGGGATTGATGGTGCTCGCCAAGGTTGCTAAACCTCAATCAAAAGAATTGGTGAAGCACTTTGGCACAGACGGTGCCCTGCCCTGTCAACCCCTTGACTGTTCTCGCCCATTTCTTCTTTTCCTTATACGTCCCAACTTCTCTACCCACGCCATCTATTGCAAGGGGAAGGCCGTCATATTCATGAATAATAACCCTCACAAACTGTTCTTGCCATTATGATGGTCTACCACCATCAAAGGCACACATGCAAAACAATTTGTGGGAATCTTCTACATTCAAAAGTTGCAATAGACATCGACGCTGACGTAGTCGGCCACCTCCGCAATTCGCGTTGTTGCAAACACACAGCTGTTATCTGACACAACATCAAGGTACCTCAAAATGTTCTCCTTCCGAACGTAATCCAGCACAAGAAACACAACCTTGTACTTCAACACAACTTGCAATTTCACGGTGCCATCTTCAACACATGTGTACCCCACCCCGGCTGCGGCATCGACAAAAGCACCAGAAATCCTTTGTAGGCATTTCCCAATGTTTGCGTACTGAAAAACTACCACAGACCCTATAAGTGAAGCTTGCTTGAACTTCTTTATCATCGGCAATTGCCTTTGCCAAAGTGTTTTTTCCACTTCCCTCTTCCCTGAATTGCCACATATTTCCTTTCCTCCTTGAGCAATTTGTCCCTTGTGACAGTAATGCCTGCACCCATAGCCAAGCATCTGGAGCATTGGTAATGAATGTCAAATGAGCCGATTTTGATTGGGCACGCTTCAGAAGGCGATCAACCTTCCCTCCATACATTAGACCTTTCCCTCCACACATTCGACTTTCTTGTGTATGCGGTCTGTCTGAATGCTATTCAGACGATGATCACACTCATCAACGACCCCCAACACTGACATTGGCTCAGTGCTTGTTTGCCGAAAGGCGTCCCTGAATCTGCACATGTCCCCTTTGCTCTCATATTGCTCTAGTGCCCGGGCAGCCTTCTCAAGAAACTGCATCAAATTCTCAAGCACAGCTGTGTCACCTTTGTCCTTCAGCTGGCATGCATTCCGCAATCCCTCCAATATGCGCCCGCCTACCTTTAATAGCCTACAGTGCGCAGACCCAATGCTTCCCTCCTCTTGCCTCTCTAGGGAAGCCACCTCAAGCACGAAGCGCAATAGTTGCAGGCGGCGCCCACAAATGGCACAATTCTTCCCAGTTGCTTGCTGACCAGTACATCGCTGTGTTGAGTGTGTCAATAACAGACCCAGCCCTGTCCACAGCAAGCTTGGACCTCCTCAAATTCGTAGAGCCAATTGCTCCTATTGTTGCACCTTCCTCCTGCTCCTCGTCAATCCCCTGTTGGCCCAACAGCAGGGCGTGTATCATGTTGAACCATGCCATCACCCGCAGCTGGAGAATGTGCACCCATTCAGCTGCGTTCTCCTTGGTGTCCGCGCTAAACTCTCGCCGCTCTCCCATGTGCCTCACTACTCATGTGCAGTTGCGGGCAGTGTAAGCCACCTCTATTGCTCCGCGGACCAGCCCGATGGGTTACCACCCTGATATGCCCTCCTCTCAGTAGGGCATTCTCCACTGGGCCCTGCGGTCTTCCACCACAAATCAACCTGGGCCAACAAGAAGACGTCCTTCCATCTGCTTTTCTTTGGTGACCGTATTTGGACCTTCCCTGCCACAGGAGCCAAAAGCACGGACGACGGCTGTGGGCTGACCCTGCCGCCAGCCAGCTCCTTTGCACAGGCCCAAGCAGTCAGGAGGCAACTCAGAAGGAATGTGTAACAGCAAATCCACTACATTCACCAGACCAACGACGGTGGAGCTTGTGGAGTGGGGGCCCATGCCGGAGATCATCAACTCTATTCGAATGTGACCCCACATTAGCGCCAGTACCAGAGTCAGACCATTTAGGGCATGCGTGCATAAGGCAATTTTTTATTACAGCGTCGAGGACTGAAAGTACCGAATGCGATGTTCTTTCGATGGTTATAATAGCACGAACATGCAATTCCATGCGCAACCCCGTGGCTTGGGGGCTGCCATGAACGTATAACGGCGCTGTGGCGGTTCCCCGACGTTGATGCTCCCTGGATTTCCACGTCGCCCTCTTGCAGGTCAGGAAGCAGCGGCGACGATCCCCGAGCATCCAATGAAATTAGTGGACGAAAAAGACAGAGCCATACAGTGGGCCCTGAGCCCCTTCCCAGCGACAATTCTGCGAAACTCTCTCCCACACAGTTGGAGCTGATGCCGGGTTTCCGAGCCCAGTTGATGCTTTGAATGAAATCCACATACTAGATCAAAGCCCCAGCACACTCTTGATACGCAGATCGCTCGCCATACTCGTAGAGTGTCCCTCCCTCCGACCCGCAACCTGGCCTGGAAGGGAGTCCCCCAGGTTTGGTCCCCAGAGACCGCGACTGGATGAGCAATACCAAGGTTAGCCCCAGTCAAGATGCCCGCCGCTCTGCCAGGAACATTCTCCGGGTATCCGGCCCTTGACGTCTGGAACAAGCAACCTGGAGGTGACGCGGTCCTGGGCCGCCGTCTGAGCAAAGGGCACCGCAACCTACTGAAGTTGTGTCGGCATTGATCGATGCAGATGCCCGTCAGCTTCCATGGACACGGCGCTTAATGCGATGCCACAATCGCACTGGGCATTGGAGCCCAGTTTGCGTATTCGCAATAAACGGGCCAGACACCGTCCGATCTGCTGCCAACTCTCAAAAGTAGGAAGACATCTTCCTGTTGTCCGATGCGCTGGGTGAGTAGGTCTCCAGGTCCTGGAAGGGTTGCTCATTGTCGACAATGACACTGTGTCAATTTATGAATTGGAACAGCAGAAATGTATTAGGTACTTTGAGGCTGGCCCCTTTGGGAGGCTGAGCCGCGCCAGCTCTAGTTTCCATGCGCCATGCGTGGACCCTGGCCCCTCGTTATGTGGGGCGTGGTTTTAGCTCAAGCCTTTGAACACTCAGCGGGTGTGCAATGACTCAAACGTTATCAGTCAGAGAGGTTCTTGCCAGGGTGCTTTAGGTTGTACAGTTTGGCGCATACACGCCCGTTTTCTATCTTGCACAAACCATGTTACTTTTCCTTGGTACAGTCATACAACCCCAAGGCAACCTTGCTAGTTACTAGCTGAATGAGGATTTGGCGAGATCCTCATGTTATTGCCCAATTCATCACTCCCTGTTCTCTTGCGAGTCTCAACAACATTTGTCGCGAAAATCACAGCACAACAGACTGCAGTACTTGAAGCATCATTCACAGCGATGCTCAAAACTCAAAATCCGTTGCACACTTAAACACCATAAGCTGTATCTGGGCAACACAGTGTCGCTGAGAGCGCGGCTATTGAAACAGTTGCTTTCCCCGCCATCAGTGCAATCCTGCAAACTCCGTTGAGCTATGCAAGGAATCCTGGACTTCAGGTATCCAGACATCAGGCTGCGGGAAACTTCTGGAACATTTGGTTGCGTCGCCCCGCCGCTTATTAGCATCATCTGCATCCAAAGCATCATGCACTAGCCAGAGCAGTTTGACGTACTGGGTAGCACTCAATCAACGCATTGCCCCGGCCGAAATTCAATGTTTGGAGACCAGGCTGTAGGCACATGGCAGGGTCCAGGATTGGGACTCAAATTCGTCCACATGTCCGAACACGAACGGTATGGCACTTTGAGGATAACAGAGTGCTCCAGGTACGCGCCAATGGATTTTCACCAAGTGTCAAAAATGCGGCCATGATGATGCAATCACGTGCAAACATGATCTTTCCAAATTTGCTTTGTTGTTTAAGGTACGGAGGCATCGCACCATTAGTATCAGAGGCCGATGGGTGCATGTGAAGCAGCCAAATCAGCATAAGTATATAGATGGATGCTGCATGATGCAGAATACTCCGCCACCAAATGCATCGTTTCGAAGTACATTCACTCCCAGTTCATCCGTTAGCCGCCCATTAATCAGTCATTAAGCTCAGGTGCAATTCATGACAGATGACGTTAAGAAACCAGGTCAATTGCATTCAAATGATCTTGATGGCTAAAATGATGCAACTTAACAACAGAATGTCAATCATGTGTGCAAACACAAACAACCCCTTGAGGGCACAGTCTTGCAGGTCTTGGTGCTACTCACGGACTCCACTGTCCACTGTGCTGCCTACATCACACCTTTCTACAATATTGTTCACAGCAGATGGTGCTAATCCCGAGCTCATCAAAAACGCCAACCACGGTCATTCCAACTGCCCTTTTGTTTCACCGTGCCTATGCTACACATAGTGTATAAAACAAATATCCTACCCCCTGGCACAAGAGAAATCCAGTTACTTGCAATGCAGTGACAGGCTATTCGCTCACAGCATATTTCCTTGAAGCAAATGGCTAAACCGCATCATACGGCGTTAGTCATTCTTTACTTATAAAGACTTCAGCGTCGTCAGAATGGTGTCCAAAGTGTGGCACAGCGGTGCGGGCATGAACAGAGAAACAATGCAATCACACAGGCAATGCCACTTCCCTCAGCTACGCGTCCATATTGAGCGCTGCCGTCCCAGTGTTTGCACTCCACTAATAGACCAAAACGACAAGGGCATCTCTCATGGCCAACGCACTTGGTACACCAGGGACATGCCTGCAGCCTGTTTCAGAGCTCTTTGCTCCTGCTTCCATATACCTATCCAGAAGAGCGCACGCCATTTCGCCGTCCACGAATTGGGAACAAAGCGCCCACTAGCCAACAGGCATCCGCTGGTGCTTCATTCCCTCCTTTCACATTCACCAATGCTGTTTGCCAGGGAATGTAGTCAAAGACGTTGTCTCTCTGCTATGGTTGGCCCAGACCTCAATGTGGGCCTCACTCGCCCAACACATCAACAATGTAAGCATCCAAAGATTCTATGACCTTGGGTCCAATTCTCTGGGCCAATTCCAGCATCTCCTACACATAACACAACAAACGAATTCTCTTGGCCAGTTCGAGCATCTCCTATACAGAGTCCCAAACCAGCAAAACTACAAAAACAACAAATCAATTCGGATTTCCGCATCTCAGGTGCAAAATGCTGAAACAGCTCTTGAAGGTCGTTCCATTGGCACTTGTGTATCTTTTTACATACACACCACGTTTCGCTTCCCCACAGTTCAGAGGCATCAGAATTGAATTGAATCTCTGTGCAGGGTCCCATGCAGCCGGTAGGGAGCTGCAGCAAAAATCAGATCCAACTCCTGGACACTGCACACTGGGACTGCCCAGCGGGGACAGGAACCACAGAAACTTCGGGAACAGCAATTGTGCATGAGAGCACTGTGCGACATGGGCCAAGGGTTGCAAGAGCACTGATTGAAATATTCTGGAATATATGCTTGCCATATCCACCAGCCCAGTGGTGCTGAGACAGCATGCTGCTGCCTTGGCTGCGGGGACTAACAGCAGACACAAGCCACAGTCAATTCTGGGGAATTCGCCACATAAATTCAGGCACCTGCATGACAGACGCATGGACAGGTGTGCTCCCTTTCTTCGTGACTCCACACACTCGGCCTTCCGCATTAACCTGCGTCCCATGCGTGGCAACAGCTCAGCGCTTTGCCCAAAATTTACCTTCTGCAGTGCCCCAAGCGAGCTGCACCGATCATCCCAAGTACAAAGGCTAATAATATGCTGAGCAGCAACCAGCAGCCAAGCATGCAGTTGCAGGCACATGATGTCGCAAAGCAGTAAGCAGTACTCATAGTACTAACCATTAAAACCACAGGGAAGATGCGCCATCGCTTCAAGTCACAAACGCAGAACAGACAACCCATGTCCGACAAAACTTGCTGCAGCAATTCAGAAAGAGCTGTGGCTGACCCTGAAGGCACTCAAAAATCATGGTCGCAGTCAAAAAAGCTGTGCATTCTACATCCAAACAGCGCTGTTTACACCACTCCTATGACCTGGAACAGTGTCGCCATGCCAAGAGACCAAACAGTGCTTATGAGGGGCGGCACACTGCAGTGAAGCAGGGCTCTCACCGCAATGTGGAGCGAAAAATCCGAGCAAAGCTCTTCCTCAGATGTCAGATCCACCAAATAGCGACGCCCAATCTGCACACCAACGGTCAATTCCACTCTCAATGAGAGGTGGCCATTCGACCAGGACATGGAGCACAACTCCATTATTGCACAGCCACATTACAGGGATTGTGCAGATGGGGAGAGAGGTACAATTTAAAAGGAAACGCCTGGTCTCACAACCAAATCCAATGTATCCCAGGATTTATATATTGTGGAACGCATCCAATCACACAATTGGCGAATGGCTGAGCAACATCTGCATGAAATGCAGGCCACCTGCGACACATTGAAAGACAATGCCACCATGAAAAGAATACAGTGAATGCAGTCCTTTAAAGGATATCATTGCTGACGTGTATCCATAGCAAGCTACAAAAATGGACAGGCACACATGCATCCAGCAGTTTGGGTTGCGCAGCAGGGCAGGAATGCAAAGTATCGCATCCATGCTGAATGTATACCTGGGTACTTGGTTTCACTCGAGGATCCACAAGGCAACATGATTTGACAAAAAAACTGTCCACTGGGCAACAGGGGCATCACAACAAGCACAGCTCAGAATGGCACGATCACTGTGCACTTACCTTAGCGACTGTCACAATAATCGGTACAGCTCCGGCATCTAATTTCGAGGACTTTTCATTGTCTATTTCAAATTCAGGCACCTCTGCACTGTCTCCCTTCGTGATTTCGACGTGAGGTATGCGGATCTCTGCCAGTGCCCCCCGCATGGCCATGGTCACAGCATCCAGCAACGAGCCATCATTGTTCAGGATCAGGGCATCAACAAATATCACCCAGCATGAGTTTCCAGGCAAGATGGACAGGGTTGCCAGGTCCAGGCCCCCAGCTGAAGGGGACACACACACACACACACAGAGTCAGGTGGGAACTGTTCGGCCCCGCCAGGTGATGTGTTTCAATGTCATGGACTTATTGGAGATGGTCTAGCATGAGATGAAGACACAGTCATTCCTGGCATTTGATGTAAACAGACACCTGGAGCCGTGTGCATAGAATGCCATGGCATTGATAACCAAATGATGCAAGCTTGAAGTGTTGAGCATGTGGAGGTGCTTCTGTTGCATGCATCAAACACTTGTCGGTCACAGCAGCAAGACATTTTGCAACGATGTTCATCATAGTCAGTGTAGCTGATGCAGGTGTAGTCTCCTTGCATGCCCGTCACAAGCCCATGGTGCCAGTGTCCTTCCTGTTGTGGCTGCTCTGTTTGCCTCATGGGGGAATGGAGCGGTCAATGTCCCACAAGCATTGACCCCTTACTCTGAAAGCATCTGCCCACCTTTGCCATCTGGTCCAACTACAACACTTCTTGCTAGTGCATTCGCCAAATCAGCTCCTAAGACCTCGCCTTCCTTTCCCTGTTTGCGTATTAAAAACAACAGATCTTTAGGGCTTCCCACCATGCTCAAGGTGCTGGACATTCATTGGGCTCATGGACATTTTGATTCCTCTCTTCACATGCCTAACCCCCGCCCAGCGAACATGCAAGCAGTACTGCCATATTGTTGTATGCTGTTCTGTGTTACTTTCTCTTCTCTTGCACTCAGATACTCACACATGAACTTTCACAACATGCACAAGAATCTCACAGAATATTGTTCACCTGTGGGATGCTCATTGGATGGATTGTTTCTGACATTTCAGTGAACGACCTTGGTATCACAAAATCTGCGATCCTGTGTTACCACCATTCTCTGCAACATTGAGAACAGCATAAACATCCACGTTGCATTCGTTAGGTCTCGCAGGAATTGGCATAGTGCATCCCTAAACTTCGTGTACCATTTCTTGTGGTTGCAATATTAAGTGTCTCTCTTCTTTTTCTGGCCGTTGCACTCATGCTCTTCGCATTATCTTCAAAACATTGAAATATGCCCAGGAGGGCCACATTGTGCAAGAAGAATCTCGCCTCAACAACAAAAACTTGCAGAAGTCAGAGTGTAAGAGTATTTTGCCAAGCGATGGATAGCCACATTGGAACATACCTCAAAGTCAGGAGATCCACAAGGAGAGAAGTCCACATTGAATTCCACACGGCCAGAATCAGGACGAAATGCCAGTGGTGCACCAATCTCAACCTGAATGCAATGTAAAGGTACAATTCATCAGTTCGTGATGCAGGAGATTGCCATGTCTTTAATGGCAACCAACACTCAGCTGCCAACCTCAAATTATGTTGAGGCATGGAAGCAAATCTGATCAGCAAACCAGGTGAACAAAAGGAGACAATTGTCTGATGCCTTGGAATTCAGAATTCAACAATGCATGTTCCCTGTGGGGAATGCTAAGGAACAAAGAAGTCCGTTTGGAACACAGCAGGCACACCAATGGCGCTGCAGGCCATTCAAATAAATCCTCCAATCCGCAAAGCCAACTTGATCGAAGCCGGGACCACAGCAATCACTCAGAAAGCAATCCTGTTGCGCCTGCACATCAGCACATCAGCACAAGTGTAAAGGATGGGGCTTAGTGGACGTTCTTGGGAGTACAGGCGCTTTTTGAGCAAGACGGCTGACCCTCCCCTGCTGCTCAGTTTTCAGCTGCGAGTGGCAGAGAAACATCACCTGCAGTTGGGGTTTTTCATTTTGACGCAACAGGAACATTTTTCCCCCCACTTCACCCAGTTTGCCCTCCTCCCCGCAGCCCTAAGCACAGCTTCCCGCAATCGTGATCGAACGACGCGAATGAAGGCGTGCACTGCATCACCTCCCGAGCTCAATGGCAATTCTGAGTCATCTTCTGGCCGTGCGACCCATGCAGCCAAACGTATGTGCTTCGTCCACACCTTGACGCCCACCATGACGTCGGTCCCGCCGAGCTGCACCCTGGCCGATCCGTTGGCCTGCGGGATGGTACCCACATCCAAGCGGGTCACCCTGTGATCCAGGCATCCCCTGCCGTCGCCGCGCAGCCCTCCCTCCACGCACTGGGTTATGTACGCGCGCTCGCCCGCGCTGATCATCGCGACCGCACGGGACAGGGCGTCCGCACAGGCACAGAAGGCGGTCCAAAGCCTGTGTGGTGTGCTGAAGTACTGGGAGCGTTTGGAGAGTTCCGTGCTTCCATTTGAGTTCTCTTCCATTTCTCTTGTCCGAATTGAAGATTCGCTTGCGCATCATTTTCGAAATTGTGGGCAAGCACAGCCAGAATGCACCCCAATTCGGACGCTCGTCGCCAAGGAGACTTAGAGGTACCCTGATTCGAACATGTCCAAGTGGCCGTGTTCGATGCACATTTCATTGAAATGGCATTTTCACAATGAAGTTTACATTAAGTATGCAGTTTCCATGTTCATTTTTTTGGCGGGGAGTGGGGGGAGGGAGGCGGTGGGGGATTGATGGGGGGGCCAAACATTACAACACGTTTAATGTCCGGCGCTTGCCCCGTCCTATCGCAAGATATGTGCACCTTGCGCCGCCTGGCAAGAAAGTGGTAAGGCCCCCAAATTTGTGTTCCATGTGTGTTCCTCAGGGGCGAACATGCGGAGCTCAGCATCGATGATGTAGCCTAGTGCAACTTAATCACACGTTTCAAATCCGTTGCAACACGTTAGCCAGGTCCATTGTGCCAAAAGGAAGGGGACAAGACAAATGGAGACAACACTTAGAGCACAGGGTGCCATGGCCAGCAGCACACAATTGCCGTACCTTATTAGACGTTCAGAAGAGCCACACGACGCCAGGCACTTTTCGCCCAGCCACACATATTAAAAGGGAAGCCGCACTCAAGAAATGTGGGGCAAAACTCTCTCAACAAGAGGACGTCAAATTTCTGACATGTATTGGCAGATCTAACAGTGCTGTAATCGCACATGCGTGCACATTTATTTCTGCGCCCCATTGATGCCACGCTTTCACAGTGCTGGATAGAAATCGAACTATTTGGAAAGGAGGCGAGTCAGCTTCTCGGGCAAGATGGTAGACTTTAATACTGCTAGTAGCCGCTGGCACGCATTGTGGCGTTGGGGCCAGTTGCTATTCTCAACTTGGTGTGTCAACTAGCAAATTTTCCAAAAGCATGTTCGAAATTGCGCCCGCTATCTCCCACTTCTGGCCGCTCCCATCCAGCGCTGGTATTTGGAAGCGACAAATTGCACCGCCTTGCAATTTTCCCAGGACCGCTCGGAATTCCGAGCCTCTTCGAAGAGGCAGGCGCCGACTCCATACTCTCCGCGCACACATCGCACACCGCGCCGATTTGGACTGCACATGCCAACGCGCACTGATGTATAATCAAACCGAGCGATAACGTATCGATGCGACATTTTGGGCAATCTGCAAGGACCTTTTTTTCCGCGCCCCAACATCCCCTCGTACTCCTGCGGCTCTCCAGGCTCAATGCTGAAAGAAAGGTATGCTGGGCGACCCTGATTGAGGGAGATGCTGAGGACCAAGTCCATTAAACGACGCACGTTTCAGGTCGCCATGTCTTCGTTCACGTTGGGGTCGGCAACTGACGGCGCAGCACAGTCCAAGAGTGGATGGCAGCCTCGTGCCTTCCAGGCAGCCTGCTGCGGGGCACGCTACAGTTCTACGACATCCAGCTGGTGCTTGCAGCACACAACAATCGCCTGCTGGCCGTTTGTAGATTGCGCTGACGCCACTGCATGAACTGGCGACTTGGCCGCAAACGTGCCCGCAGTGGCGCCATCCTGCGGGACTTCAGCGCTCAGTGTTAGAGAAGCAGCCTTTGAAAATTTGGTAGAATATTTGCACATTCAATGCCGAAGTTAGCAATCTAGTCGATCATGAAATAAGATTAAACCATGTTGAGCGACATAGTCAGATGCCAGCTTGCCTATGGCGTTGTTCGAGGTCTATGGGGGTATGTCATGTGGCTGCTTTCGGTATCTGACGTACTGATGATGGCACGGTATATTTATGCTAGCCAAATATTCTTGTTGATTACCGCGAGGCATACCCCTATCTTCGATTCTCTCTCCCCTGTTCTCTTGGAAATGGCTGTGAACCATCGCAGTGGTAGCAATCCGTCATTGCATATGTCGGAAGGCGAAGGCGACACAATGCATTGCATCGGGACACCCTTTCAGCTGATGGCGTATGACTTGGCAGGTGAATGGGAACACTCCGCAGCGACTCATACGACAAGTGGTTGTTATGACTTCCGTGCAATGATTCACCGCCGCGTTTTCACATCACGCTTGAAGTGCACAAATACAGGTTGCCACTTGTCTGATTAAGTTTGTTTAATGATGTAAGATCTACGATATGTACAAGAAGTGAAAATTTGATGTGGACCAATGCATTCAAACTTTGAATTTCACACATGTTCTAAGTAAGCTACACACTACTTGGGGGCCAGAACAGTCAACAAATAGCTGCATTGCTGCCATCGGCGCCCCAGCATAGTGCGTTCCAATCAAGATTCTCCCAAGGCTGTCATCCTGTACAAAGTGACAGCCCTCATAGAAGCCTTGCAAACCTGCTACACGGCGCCCCCCCATCCCCACCCAGCCACCCACCGCCACACACACCCGTTCTTCCCATTTCGAACGCAATTACTCCAACGCTGTCACGCACCTGCTCCAGCACTCTCACACACGGACGGCCTCCGCTGCCGCCGGCGACGACCCTGCCCCCTCCCCCCGCCGCGAACTTGGCCGCGTACAGCTTGCACGCTGCCTGGGCCCCGGAAGGGTCCGAGAACGGCAGGTTGGTGAGCAGGCAGCCCCACCTCCAGTCCCACAGCTGCAGCGCCCTGTGCTCGCGCCACGAGCCGGTGAGCAGCGCGTCGCCCTGCAGGTCCAGGGCGTCGCCGCAGATGAACGGCCCGAACATCGTTCGCACCCGCCGGCCCTGCCGGAGGTCCCACACGCACACCACCCTGTCCCAGCCGCCCGACACCACCACCTGCGGGGGGTGTTCGACGTGGCGGTCAGAGGCAACGTTGCCATTTTCCGACGCAATTTCCGTCATTGATCATGGTGACGGAAATTGCGTCGGAAACTGTGTCGGAAGTGTGTCGGACGGGGCGATGTGCAAGCAAATGGCGGTGATGGTCGTCGTCGTGGCGTGGCTGTGCGCTGCTGTTCAGCGCGGGCTCCAGGGTCTGCAGGATGGGAGTAGGGGAGTGGACATGTGGGAGTAGCTCATCACTGCGCCACGGGCCTTCATTCTCCAGGGAAAATGCAACACGCTAATCGGAACAGCGCTCTTCCGAGCTGCGGTTTTGGCACTACCAGAAAACGGTACGCAATTCTGTGATCTTGCACACATTACTGTTTCATTTTGAAACAGTAACGTGTATGAAGTTTTCATACTATCTTATGCTTCGCAGTGGAAGCTTTCCTTGCCTAACACAGTAGAGTCTACGAAAATGATAATGCACACAGAACTGAGGATACTAGTTGTCAAAAGTTTTTTCCATGGTGCCCTTGGAATCCCAAATTTCACGGTGATTTGCCATAAATTTATGGCAGAATATGTTTCTCAAAATAGATCAACTAATTTGCAATTGCGACCGAGAAATGCGCATGAGCTGCCTACTTCAAAGCAACATGACGATAACGCTACCTCTGATTTCCGGGGTAAAGATAGACGGTATTATTTTAATCGCCCTAACTGTATAGTCAGGTGAATGCGAGAGTTTGGGAGAGACAAAGTATGCAATGCACCGCATTATTAAGCTTATGAAGCATTTTGATGTCAGTGAATTTTAGTATTAACTTGGTATGGGAACAGAATTGAGAGAAAGAGGAGATTGAAATTGAATAGCGATCGCCCAAAATAACGCCGCAGCTTCCTTGCACAAGGAACGGTACTCTCTTCTTGGACATTCAATGGGCCAGAATGAGAGTATCATTGTCAACATCGGCAAGGCCATAATAGGGGTGACATCATCTGCTATATGATGCGTAAGTTGTACATCCTACTAGAACAATGAAGCAGGTATTGTATCGATGCGGGTGCGCTCGCACAGCAGAAAACGCGCATTCGAAATTCATTACATCATTCCATCAAAACATGACTTGCCGACGGATCCTCGCGGCTCCAGGACACCCCGTGAATTCTGTTGCTGTGAGCTGGCGAATCAGAAGTTCCCAGTGACAAAGTCAGACTCTGAGTGGTCTCGTCGTAGACCCTAAGCATGCCATCCGAACCGCCGCCCGCAAACATCTGCAAGGCCAAATAAAAGCACCCAACTTTGGACGTTCTGATTAGGTAAGCTAAAAAGTGCTAAAGCTTTTCGAATAGGATCATCGAAGTTATTATGCAAGCCACAAATGTTTGACTATATCTGCGGGCATAATGCCACAAGGTTTTGTGAAGCAATCAGGAGCCAATTGCCACTACTCTACCAAATTGCTATGAAGCAAACTGCCTTTCGGAATAGCTCGATAATCGATTTTTCAATCTACAGGCTTGAAGACGTTAAGGGAGCAATTCGTTGTTTCCAGTGTCTTCAAATCAGCCTCCCTATAAAGAGACACAGATTTTTCATAACAGATCTTCCTCACATTGCGGACGTACTGGGACTTTACAATTCATAACTTCTCGTATGCTCATCCACATCCTGAATGTCGCGATACTTGTAGCCTTGCTTGCCCTCATCAACTTAACTCACCTTGCCATCATGGGATGGGCACACGGAGCTGATGGTGTTGCCTTCCACATGAATGCTGGCCATGATCGTTCCGGTGGTGACATGTAAATGCTGGAGCTGATCTCCCTTCGCACAATGCCCAATCGCAAATCCTCTCAAAGGCCCATACATTAGGCTTGCATTGACACAAGTGCTATTGATGTAAGGAATTCAGCAATCTTGACAAGACTACAAATCCTAGGCAATTCCCCCCTGGTTCGAAAACCACTGGTGCATTCATAGCGTCATATTGCCATTGCCGCAGGATTCAATATCAAATTTCAATTAATTGGCAGATTGATTGCAGAATAGAAGCCAAGAGGCAACCAGACTGCAGATGACAGAACAATTACTTGTATG